TTGTTGTATTGAAATATTTAGTGTTTTGTTTTATTTAATAATTGTTACAAATAATTAATGGTAAGTAAAATTCATCTGAATATTAAACAAAAACTACGTGTTGTGATATATATTAATATAAACACATGGTTGTATCACGTTGTCTGAATAATATACGGTTAACTTTGAATATAATATTATTTTACTATTATTATAAGTATACGTGAAAATGAAACTATGATATTATTTATATGGAAAAATTATTAAATATTTCTATTTTTATTTTAAATTTTAAAAATAAATTAATAAAATTACTTGCAGACAGAAAAGATCTGCAAATATTAGCTTCCAAATTTTAACAACCACATACATCTGCAGAAATAATTGGACAAAGTGAAGTGCAAATAATTGCATGTTTATATGGCGCAAAAGAAAACAGTGACTTGGGTGAAATACGATTTTACCACTTCAAGAATGCTGCTTTGAATACAAGCGTTAAGTTGGAAAAGTTGCCACCTACAAAGGGTAGTGCAGAGCAGCATAGTTATAGAGTATACCTTCAAGTACAGGAATGGTTGGGCGTGAAGAAAGACCCTACACAATGGGGATGGAAAATAATTGATCAGAACTTCACACCTACATATTCATCTGATCCCATGGTTCCTGAAGAATTGGCTAATTCAATCAAATGCAATTGCAAAAAAGGATGCAAAACTAAAACATGTACCTGTCGCAAAAATGGCTTCAAATGTACAGACATGTGCAGTACATGCATAGAAATTCAATGTACTAATATTTATGAAATTATTAATGTAGAAGAAAACGATACAACAGATGAACAAGAGATAATTGATGAAATGTATTTAACTGGGTTTGATGAGAATAGCGACAATGAAAATGAAATGATTTATGAAAGTTATAATACAAGTGAAATTGAAGATGAAAGTGAAGATGAATGTTTACATAGTAGTAGCAGTGACGATATAGAAATAAAGCGTAGAAAATTACAGTAAATTAAATTATTTTAAAAAATCACTACACAAAATTTCAACTTCTGTAATAACATAAAATTAATTTATTATTTCATTAATAAATTTTAAGTAAACATTATTTAAAATGTTCATTTACTTATAACATTTATTTAATATAATCATATTTGAAATAAATAAATAGAAAAATAACAATTGTACATTCCGTAGTCATTAGCTGCTTTGTTTTGAATAATTTTGCAATGAAAGTACGTTAAATGTTATTATTTTAACGTTGTACCCCAGTTTAAAAAAAAAAAAGAACAAATTTGGTCCACTAGAACCCGAGATATGTCATTTTTTTCCAAGCACTCTATTTTGAAACCCTGCGCTCGACTTTTTTGGAGAGCGCGGCTTGTGTGCAATCGGCAATCCCCACTCCTTCCATTCTAGTCGGAACGCAAAGTACTCTTCGTTTACAACACTCCTGTTTAAACAATTTTCAATTATTTTTTTTGCTAAACATTTTGTGAATAACTTTGACTTTTCTTCTAAAAGATTGGTTAATTTCAGCCCTTAATGTTGTTAATTGACGTAACAGTGATTTTAAAAAAAAAATGACTAACTCGGCTCCTAATGGTCGCAGGACCTTTTTTTTTTAAAGTTGTGTTTTTTAACCCGCCTTCCGAATATTTTATTGCCATTTAATTTAAACTAAATAGTACGGAGTTATTGTAAATGTTTAAAAACTTAAAAAGTGCTATTTATTAATAAATCATTTTGTGTACATAAACGTAATTTTTTTTAACTTTTTTTTCCACAGGATATTAGTACATGTCTCATCGAAGAAAATAAGCCCCGGATTATTAAGATCCATTCAGTCAAATTATCTGGACCGGCTTTAGAAATTTGTGCATTTTTCAAAAAATCTTATAAACAAATTAAATTGTGCAAAAACTATTTGACGGATCTAGCCTATCTTTCGCACACACTTTGAACACGATGAGATCTTTAAGTTCAAATACATTTAAATAAATTTTATTGATTACTTAAAGAGTTATTAACAATAATCAAAAACAGCCGTTTTGCTTGGTTATTATGCAATAACTTTTTTGTTTATTAACCGATTTTAACTTAGTATATCTCGTTTTGTGTATTTTTTCTTTCTCAACATCTCGTCTGTGGACGTCAAATCTCTAAATAGACAAGTTTATAAGTTATGAGCAAAATAATGATATTGACGTCTTAATTGTTTATTTAAAAATAGTTCCACTAAAAAATTCATGAATCCCTAGATGAGAGTCTTTTTGTAATATCTCATACTATCCATTTCAACTGTCAAACCCGTCTATACACTTGTGACGAAAAAACGCATATTTTCTACTAACTTGACTCGTCTATTATGGCTATGCTGAACTTTACTAAATTACTAATAACTTTTCCTGGAAATACTGCATAATATAGCTTTTAATAGTAATTTATTGCAATAATTACACACTCGTGTTGTATCAGACGTGTTTAACCTCCAAAATCTTCTTCTTTCTGGAGTTTTCATTAGGGGCATTACTTGGATGATATGGAGAGGACAACATAAAAATCGAGGCGGGGCTGGGTTCTGAATGGACGGAATCGATTAGGTTAGTTTATGTTAGGTTGGGTTAAGTTTGATTATAGGGATTTGGTTAAGTAAATCGTGAGTATAAACAAAATAAAGGGTAGTATAAATACTAATGTACCACTTGGAAAAAATAACTCTATTATGATAGGTATTAATCAACATTTAAATAAAGGACATTTTTCACTTGCTTGCTTGATTTATTTTTATAAATTATTTTTTATAAATTTTTGTATAAAGAAAAAACAAATAAATCCCAAATTTATTACCGTACTGATCAACGGATTTTCGTTATCATCCTGTAATAAACGGTTAAATAAATTAATGGTTAAAAATTACATAATCCTGAGATATCTTTAGTAAAAAGCGTACTTTTTCTCTTACAATATGTGTTACCAGTAAACGTTCGGTTGATTTGACGTGGGATAATTTTATAGAATTCGTCTTAAGTATGCTATATTACATTTATGTGACACATATATCACGAACCAAAGACTGTTATCTAGAGGTCTGATAAGTAACCTCCTTTGACAATTAAAACGTTGACATCTAAAAAAAAAGGAAACATTAGTTCTAGAAAGTCTAGTAAGTCTAATTTTACATGGCGGCTGCATAAATTTGACAAGTTTGGAAAATTTTTATGTAGAAAAATGATTTTCGATCTCATTAACCATTATTATTTGAAAAATAAAATGGCAGTGAAAACAAAAGGAAAGTTATATAATTATTATAAGACTAATGCTCCTTCAGATTATACTGTCAAATGTTGGATCCGTGAATTTGGTAGTGGCCATATATCCATACTGGATGAACCACGTACTGGACTGCCCTCCGATACAGTTACACCGGAAAATATGATAAAAATCCATGAAATGATTTTAACTGATCGTAAAGTGAAGGTGCGTAAATTGGAAATTCGAACTGATCGTAAACACTAGTCATTATGTGAACAAAGTTTTGAATATGAAAAAATTTGGACCAAAACTTCTTTTGGCGTCAATTGGTAACCGCTGATGAAACCTGGATCGACTATTACACACCAGTAAACATAATAAACGCATGACAGTGGATTGAAGCCAGTAAGAGTGCTCCGAAGCGGAAAAAAGTGATTCCATAAATCGGAAAGATTATGGCCACTGCATTTTAGGATTGCAAAGGCATAATGTTAATTGATTACTTTAAAAAACGTAAAACCATCATTATTGTGCATTAATGGTCAAATTGGAGCAAGAACTCAGTGAGAAACGACCCATGTTCAGAAGAAAGAAGTGTTGTTTCTCCAAGATAATGCAACGGTTCATAGTTACAACAACAAAAATTCATGAGTTTGGCTTCGAATTGCTTTCTCATCTGGCTTATTCTCCCGATTTGGCTCCTTCTGATTATTATGTGTTCCCAAATCTGAAAAAATGTCTCATAAATAAAAAAATCAACTCTAACGAAGAGATAATTGATGAAACAAACACCTATTTTTCAAAGCCTCCAGAATCGTATTCTTCGGACGGCATAAAGAAGTTGAAAATCGCAGGAATCGTTGTATTGGGCTAAAAGGAGACCATATCGAATAAAATAAAAGAAGTTTCTAGAAAACATGTTTTTCATTTCAAAGGACATTACTTATCAGACCATCTAGTATAAACATTATCTAAGTCAGGGGTCAACAACAGCAGTGACTATTGAGCAGTTGTAGAAGAGATACATTTACAATTAAATAAGAACTACCTATAGAACAGATCTACGATAAAATGATACCGCGAAAGAAGTAATTGAAGAAGGTAAAACATTTTAACAAAGCGACATGAATTAAGCTAAAAATGTATGCAGAAATTTATTTATAGAATTAGATGTGTATAAGTATAAAATCAAATAAAATTCCGGTTGAGTTTACCAAAAGTACAAGCTGAATATAGCCGCATATGAACATATTTTGGTTTGGCCGTGTTGGCATGTTTTTATAATGCATATCTTGTATGCTTCAAATATAAAAAGATACAGCTTTAAAAAGTACATTTCAATTATAGTATTTTGTAATCTGGCAACTGCTGATTTGACGATTGCCACATCTATCCTCTAACATATCAAAGGGTAATTGCTAAAAAAAATGTAATAATCAACTGCAATTAATCTCCAAAGAAACAAATATTTACTCATTTTTTTTTATATAAATCAGAAATTGCAGAATTCATAACCTAATATAAACAAAATGTACTTTTCTAAAGCTTTATCTTTTTATATTTGAAGTATACAGCATTTACATTATAAAAACATGCCAACAATGCTTTACCGAACTTTTTTGTTCCATGTTTGACAATTGCGGCTATAATCAGCTTGTACTTTCGGTAAACTCAACCAAAATTCCTCCACGTAAAAATCAACCTAACCTTTACGATATGTTAATTACCCTATAATAAATATTTATGATAGACAAAAAACTCGTTTTAGACAAAATACGCTGCTAATTGTGCCATCTTATCTTGAGGAGCTCTGCCTCTACCCCCTCGACCTCCTCTACCTCTTCCTCCTGCTGTTTTACCGCCTCGGAAAACGCGCTGACGTGAAATGACCGCGGTTTTTGGCCTATCAACTAGTCTGGAGAACTGTGGACTGCAGAAAACACAACCTTTCGCTTCATTAGAGCCTTCCAATTTATTTTTCTCCTGCTTATATTCTACTTGAACAAATTGTGAGCCACAGTCGCAATTGTCTTCAAGGACTGCTACTTTTTGAGCACCGTCAAAGAGGTTTATAATTGTATCGCACCTAAAAAAGAAAAGGAAAATAAATGAAACGTGCTAGTATTCCAAAACAGATTAAAAATATTACAAAGATGTCACAAATAAATAAAAATCAGATATAAATCAAAACATGTAAAACGAACTTTAATGGTATAATAAAATAATGTATAGTGTAGGAAGCATAAGAGTTAGCATGTAATATTATAATGACATTAAATCTAATGCTTGCAAATGAAACAGACATAGATACTATTTTATATCAACAACAGCAGATATGAGAAGAGACCTCTTATCAATTCCGAAAAGGTTATTCCTCGATCTCTATTATACTCAGTAGTTTTAATTTTTCGTTTTAAAATTGATCGAAATAAAAAAAAAAACATTAAAATAAAACATATCGATGAATTTGGTTGTGATAATCCTTATTCTAAATTTTGAAATAAATGAATCATCTGTGAATAGTCAAGAGTCATCCCATAAAACATTGTTTAGTGCATGGACCTTGTGGGTAAACTGAAAATGCTGTCCTGTGGGAGGGTTAAAATCTAAATGTAGTCAATCCCAATAATATGTTGCCCAAGCGCACTATGGTTCTTACCGCCCAATTATCAGGGCCCATTTAAGAAAACAAAATCAAGACTTAAGATGAAAGATATGTTGCTGAAAAATTGGAAGATCGGGAAGGACATGAAAATTCCAGTTTATACGATTGACGACCCCTCCTACACAGCAGTGAGGACTGTTCATTTCAAGGTGCACTACAGTAGGAAAGGTACCTATCCTTCAAAACTATTAGAGACCTCCACCATACTAAGATAGCTTCGGCAGAACTTACTGTTGTTATTAAAATATTCAATGTAGCTTTGATACAAGAACCCCGGATTTATACAGGCAAAATAAGAAGTCTATCAGGCATTGGTGGAAGGCTTATATAGGTATAGCTGATCTGCCGGAATCCCAAGGAACTCAAAACAGTGCCGTTGATGAATCTTTGTTCTCAGAATTTAACGTCAGTAAAGATGAAGACCATAGAGGGATTAGGTATGATGGAGATAATTCTTGGATTAGTATATCTCCCATATGATGATCTCGCACAACTACCACTAAGAGTTGGAAAAACTACTAAGAGATTGGATATTGAGACAATAATTGGTCATCGACTGTGATGCGTTGTGCACGATCCGACCTGGAGCAGTACAAACACCGTTAAAAGAGGTGAGCCATTACTAACTACTGAATACCATATAAGTGTATTTCCCATTTCAAAATACTTGAGCTCCCTTAATATTAATTGTTGTTTTTCTTTAGGAATAAATTGGCGTTTTTGACATACGTTACAAAAATCTAATAAACAAAAAACTTGAAAACCAAAACCTTATCGTAAACTTAAAAACAACACTATCCGACATTGAATATTGCATGTCTAGACGTCATGAAAGCGTCGTTCGTACTAAAAGACAGTTCTCAATTTGCACGATTCGACTTTTTATAGACTGAGCATATTCTAAATGATACAATATAACAAGTGTTCATAAATAAGTATTGTAAATATATGAATATACAGAGATGGTATAAAGTATGGAACCAAGTAAATATCTTAACGAGAGTGAAAGAAACGAAAAAGACGATATTCATGAAAATTTTTATGCATGTACAATGACACATCAGATGCCATATTTTCTGGTACTTCTCTTCTTCAGATTTCACCGGAAATTGAACACCTTATATAATTTTGCAGACGTTAAAAGAACTTGTTATTCCCAATTCATATCTACCAAGTGTGATAGAAAAAATTTATTAAAACGAAAAATAAATCACTTTTAACATTATAAACGTCAAATATTTATTAATTTACATTTAAATAATTATTTTATTTTAATTTCTTTATTAATTTATTAAGTCTTTTACCTCCAGTGCCCTCTGTCTTTCTTTTCTCTCTTTCTGTCCCGTAGACTAAATATTCGCCTTTTCTCTTTCTGTCCGGCAGACTAAATATTTTGATCTGTGTTGACAGAAAAGTTAATTCCATCATATAGAAACATCCTATGACATATGTGCTAACTTCATGTAGTCCCTTCCTATTTTCTGTCAATCACCTTTAATGGTGGGATTATTTTTTCTTTATAATTGAAATTTATAAGCTTGATTTTATAGTCTGCAACATTCTCTTGGAATTATTGACGAATTTATTGACCATATCCACATATTATTGAAAAATGAATTAACCATATTCACGGTTTATTGGCCGTATTATAAGAATTTATTGACCATTGGAGTACCTAACCACTTAATTGGGAGGTTACACTCAAATGGTACAACTTCAGCTCTCCGGAGGACCTAACATCTAATTGGGAGGCCACACAAGCAGCCCATTGAAGTCATCGATGCCATACGTACCATCCTCACTAATTCATTGTTAAGCATTGGCAGGATTTTTTAAAATCTTTTTTAATAATTTGATTGGTTACAATTTGTTTTATTTGCTATCAGCTAAGGGTTCAGGTTTAATTCCTAGTTTAAGACAAGACGAACTCACACTTGAGGTGAAGCATAGACGATAAGCTCCCATGGTTCATTGAGGTATTATTTTTATAATAGTACGTCAATTTTCTTTGGTAGTCTTATCGCTACACACTTTAAAGTTAAGGAATAGGTAAATTACTAAGATCAATGAGAATAATAATTAAAAAACGAAATGTTCAAAAAAACGCGAGCGTCCATTTCCAAACAATATGCAAATCTACTAAGGTATTATCGTCTAGAAAGCTAAAAAATGACACATTTTTAATAATTTTTCTTGTATCTTATCTATGGCAATTAAACTTTTTTTTATATTACATAACTTTTGAAGATAAAAAATTTTTTATTCTTTTTTTTTTTCATTGTTCCTGTTGTGTTTTAAAGATGGCGCCAAAAACGTTTCGTCCAAAAAATGACTGCTCCATTACAGACAGTTAATCTCTGGAATATAAAATTCGAGAACGATTTTAAAAAAGAAGTGCCCTTACGTGATAGTTTACTACAAAAATTTAATATTCTTAAAAAAAAAACAAAATTACAGGCATTTGAAAGAATTGTTCAAAAATGGACTTTTTTTCGACTTTTTTCAGTAACAAAAATTGTATTATTGTTTTTTTTTTGTCAAATTGTGGTAAACTACCATAGAGAAAACCAAAACAAACAAAATGCATCAAGCTATATTAAAATCAACTGACTAGATCCGGAGATAACTGTCCATCAGTTCTTAAAACGTAGTTTTTGTCAAAATCTTTAATCTTCGAATCTAGAAGGTCGATTTTAATGAACCTGTTTTTGTTTTTCTCTATGATAGTTTACCACAATTTGACAAAAAAAAATAAAATTTCTGTGACTGAAAAAAGTTCCATATTTGAACAATTTTTTCAAATGTCTGCCATTTTTTTTTTTTTAATTTTAAAATTTTCTGGTAAACTATCACATAAGGGCACTTTCTTTTTTAAACCTTTCTCGGATTTATATTTCAGATTTGCCGTTAAAGAGAGTAACTGTCCGCCATATAGCAGTAATTTTTTAGACGAAAAAGTTTTGGCGTCATCTTTAAAATACAGGAACATTGAAAAAAAAAAAAGAAAAAAATTGTAACATCCAAAGTTGTATAATATAGAAAAAGTGTGATTGCCAAATACAATAGATAAGATACAAAGAAAAATTGTTGAAAATGTATCACATTTAGCCTTCTTGGCAGTAATAGTACCTTAATAAATTCGTGCGCCATTTTTTCCAACACCACTCCACGTATTAGTTCACCTTCATCAATATTTGTTTGTCATAAATCCTGCAAGCTTGTAAGTCGCTTCATAGAAACAAGTGATTTTAGATAACCCCCAAAAACATTTAACTGATTAAGGTCCGGAAAACGAGCAGGCCGCTCAATGAATGCGCTACGTCCAATCTATCGATTTTTAAAATTTGGACTCTTAATCCGTCGAATATAGTGGAGAGTTGCTCCATCTCGTTAAAACTTGAAATTTCCGTCTGTGAAAAATGATCATATTCTATTTTGGATTATTTCACTCCAAGCATTAACTGTTTTGAATGCTGGGTATGTGCTTCAGAAATCTATTGATTCTCATTGTTATGGGGGTTAACTGTTCCATTTTATCAAAAAGTTGCCTTATCGGAAAACTCTATCTGCCTGTCAAAATAATCATCTGAAAATCCTTTAACCAATTGAATCTTATCAGATGGTATTTTTCAGTTTTCGATATTTTTTTTTGCAGAACGTCGAAACGTCGTTTTTTTTTCGAACGTCGAAACGAAAAAAAAAAAACGACGTTTCGACGTTCTGCAAGAAAAATATCGAAAACTGAAAAATACCATCTGATAAGATTCAATTGATTAAAGGATTTTCAGATGATTATTTTGACAGGCAGATAGAGTTTTCCGATAAGGCAACTTTTTGATTAAATGGAACAGTTAACCGCCATAACAATGAGAATCAATAGATTTCTGAAGTTGGTCTTAGTCTTAGTCTAAAAATTTCTTGAAAAGTTATGTAATATAAAAAAAGTTTGATTGATACAAGAAAAATTATTAAAAATGTGTCATTTTTTAGCTTTCTAGACGATAATACCTTAATAGATTTGCACATTGTTTGGAAATGGACGCTCGCGTTTTTTTGAACATTTCGTTTTTTAATTATTATTCTCATTGATCTTAGTAATTTACCTATTCCTTAACTTTAAAGTGTGTAGCGATAAGACTACCAAAGGAAATTGAAGTACTATTATAAATGGGAGCTTATCGTCTATGCTTCACCTCAAGTGTGAGTTCGTCTTGTCTTAAACTAGGAATTAAACCTGAACCCTTAGCTGATAGCAAATAAAACAAATTGTAACCAATCAAATTATTAAAAAAGATTAAAAAAAACAATCAATCCTGCCAATGATTAACAATGAATTAGTGAGGATGATACTTATGGCATCGATGACTTCAATGGGCTGCTTGTGTGGCCTCCCAATTAGATGTTAGGTCCTCCGGAGCTGA